CCAGGGATTCCCAGGGATGAAATTCAAAAGAAATCCATGGAATTAACAAGAAACCCATGAAATTATTAAAAAAAAATAAAAAAAAAAATCTGTGGAATTAAAGGAAATCTTTGAACTTGCAAAGAAATCCATGGAATTAAAGGAAATCTGTGGAATTAAAGGAAATCTGTGGGATTAAAGAGAAATCCCAAAGAAATCCATGGAATTAACAAGAAATTCCAAAGAAATCCATGGAATTAAAAGGAAAGCCATGGAATTAAAAAGAAATTCCAAAGAAATCCATGGAATTTACAAGAAATCCATGGAATTAACAAGAAATCCACCAAAACTCAACCATGGAGATGCCGTCATTGGGAGAGGGAATTGGGAATTGCTTTGGGAATGTCCCCACTCCCTATCCTGGATCCCTAAATCCCATCTTGGTGGGAAAAGGGGAATTCCAGCCCAGCCAGAGCTGCTCGATGGAAACGTCTCCGTTAGGGCGGCGCTGACTGCTCCTCCCAATTCCAGAGCCTCTGGAATTGCTGCTCCTGGAATCACCCGAGTTCCACTTCCCAGCAGTCGGAATTTAGGGATTTTCCACTTTGCCAAATGATTCTGCTGATTCCTCCTTCAGGGCGGGAATTCCTTAAGGAGTTGGGATAATCCATGGAATTCCTAAAGAAATGGGGATAATCCATGGAATTCTATAAGGAGTAGGGATAATCCATGGAATTCCTTAAGGAATGGGGATAATCCATGGAATTCTGTAAGGAGTTGGGATAATCCATGGAATTCCTTAAAGAATGGGGATAATCCATGGAATTCTGTAAGGAGTGGGGATAATCCATGGAATTCCCTAAGAAATTGGGATAAATCCATGGAATTCCTTAAAGAATGGGGATAATCCATGGAATTCTGTAAGGAGTTGGGATAATCCATGGAATTCCTTAAAGAATGGGGATAATCCATGGAATTCTATAAGGAGTGGGGATAATCCATGGAATTCCTTAAGGAATGGGGATAATCCATGGAATTCCACAGGAATCTCCAAAAGGAAGATGCTCGGCTCTCCCTGAGGGGCAGCACAGGCTTGGAATTGGATTTTTTCAACTTTTTTTTTCCCGCCTTGTTCTCCTGTTTTATTTTCCAATCAAGCTGGGAAGTTTTTGACAAAAAAAATAAAATAAAAAAATAAAATAAAATAAAATAAAATAAAATAAAATTCAACCCCCCCCAAAAGAAAATCCCAAACCCAAAAAAAGCTCCAAACCCTGAAAAGTCATAATCTCTTGATTTTGACCCCGATTCCAAAGATCCAAATCCAGGAGTTTTGGGGATCTGCAGCCGTTGGAAAGCGGAATTCCGGTGTTCCCAGCTCAAAGCAGCATCCGGGAATGGGCTCAGACAGCGCAGAGGGAACAGAACCCAAACCCAAATCCCAGGAAACTCAAAATTCAACCCACAAAATTCAATCCCAAAACCCAAACCTTAACCCCAAATCCAATTCTAGACCCACAAAGCTCAACCCCCAAAATCCCAAACCCACAAAACTCAACCCCAAAACCCAAACTTAGACCCATAAAACCCAAACCTTAACCCCAAACCCAAAGCTCAACCCCAAACCCAAAACTAAACCCACAAAATTCAACCACAAAACCCCAAATTAAACCCACAAACCCAAACCTTAACCCCAAATCCAAATCTGAACCCACCCAACTCAAACCCCAAACCCATAAACCCCACAAAACTCAACACCAAACCCAAAATAAACCCAGAAAACCAAAACTAAACCCACAAAGCTCAACCCCAAACCCCCCAAAGTCAACCCCAAACCCACAAAACCAAACCCCAGACCCAAACTAAACCCACAAAACAAAGCCCCAAACTCCAAACCCACAAACCCAACCTTAATCCCAAACCTAAAATTAAACCCAAAAACCAAACCCAAACCCACAAAACCAAACCCAAAGCTAAACCCAAAAATCCACAAACTAAACCCACAAACACAACCTTAATCTCAAACCCAAACCCAAAACTAAACCCACAAAACAAAGCCCCAAACCCCAAACTAAACCCACAAAACCCAACTTTAATCCCAAACCTAAAACTAAACCCACAAAACAAAGCCCCAAACCCCAAACTAAACCCACAAAACCCAACTTTAATCCCAAACCTAAAACTAAACCCACAAAACCAAACCCAAACCCACAAAACCAAACCCCAAACCTACAAAACCCAACCCCAAACCCATAAAACCCAACCTTAATCCCAAACCCCAAACTAAACCCACAAAACTCCAAACTAAACCCCAACCCCAAAAACCCCAACCCCAGACCCCAACCCCAGCTGTGCGTTCAGAGCGGCGACAAAGCTGAAACAAATGAGCAAAAATCTCGGGATTTGCAAAATTTCCGGGTGAAAACCGTGGGATTTCGGATTTTTCTGGGTAAAAATGTTGGGATTTTCAACATTTTCTGGATAAAAACCTTGGGATTTTCAAGTATTTTGGATAAAAACTTTGATATTTTAACATTTTCTGGGTAAAACCCTTGGGATTTTCACTTTTCTTGGATAAAAACCTGGGGATTTTCACATTTTTTTGATTAAAACCTTGGGATTTTAATATTTTCTGGATAAGAAACCTTGGTATTTTCACATTTTTCGGATAAAAGCTTTGGGATTTTAACATTTCCTGGATAAAAACCTTGGAATTTTAACGTTTTCTGAATAAAAACCTTAGGGCTTTCACATTTTAACATTTTCTGGGTAAAAATCACAGAGAAAAAACTCAATTTTAACTCGACACAAAATCTGATTTTTAGATTTTTAATTCCAGAAATCCCAGTTTTCTGTTTTTAATGCCACAAATCCGGCTTTTAATGTCAAAATTCTGGTTTTATACAACGGAACCAAATCCCAGACGAGAAGGGACGGGAGAAGGAGCCGATCCTTCCATAAATTAAATGTTAGCAATTAAGCAGGACAGGAATTAACACCAGGAAATTCCCGGCTCCAGAGGTGCAATTCCTTGGAATTATTTGCATAGTTCCTCCTTTTTTTTTTTTTTCCTCCTTTGGAATTCGAAAAATCCTCAGGAATTCGGAGAAATTCCAGGAGAAATTCCAGGAGAAATTCCAGGAGAAATTCCAGGAGGAAAGCTCCAGCCAGGATTTCTGCTCTCGAAGGGAAGAAAAAAATCAAAATCTCAGCAGCACAAAAAAATGGAAATGATCCAAATTCCAAGTTGGAATTTCCCAAATCCTCCAAAAAATGGGAAAGGTTCCAGCTGGAATTCCTTGGCCAGAAGGAAAATCACTTTCTTTATCATAATAAAGAGGAAAAATCTGGAATTCCAGGGGGGTTTTGGCACGTGATTTGGGTTTTATCCCTGAAAATTCCACAAAAATCTCATTTTTTCAGGAGATCAAAGTGAATCCAGCTGCCCCAAGATTCCCAGAAAAACGGGATTATTCCATGGAATAAATGGATTTCTTCCCATGCCAAATTCTCCTCTTGGGAAGTCTGAACCCCAGGGAAGAGGGAACGGGGATTCTCCGTGGGGGAGGCAGATCCAAGAGTTTTGTTCTCATCTTCCCCCCAAAAAAAACCTTTGGGAAAAGGGAGAACCAACAGTTCCCGTGGCCATCGCTGCCAGGGAATGTTGGGCATCCCAAGGAATTCCTTTGGGAGCAGCACGGGGAGCTGGGAATGCTTGGAGTTGGAATTCCAGGGGCTGACGGTGACTTTTCCATGGATTTAGGATCCTCAGGCTTGGATGGAAAAGTTGGAGGAGGAGAAAAAAACCCCTCCTTTTCCAGTTATTTCATCTTCCCCAGATTCCTCAGGCAGGAAGAAGATCCATGGGAGATGTGGAGGCTGGTGCTTGGAATTCAGGAATGCCTCTGGAAGTTGGGAATGCCTCTGGAAGTCGGGAATGCCTCTGGAAGTCGGGAATGCCCTGCCAATTCCAGGGATTTCCCAAAACCAAATCCCATTTTTCCACCGGCAGGAGTTGTCCCGATGTCTCCGGCTCATCCCAAAAATCCCTGGCTGCTCCAATGCAGGAATTGTCTCCTTTCCACACGGAATGCAGGCAGCAGGGATAATCCTTGGAGAACACTTTATCCAAGGATTCAGCTGGAAAAATTCCCAAAAATCATTCCCAGGTTTGGGATCGGGCCTGGACTGAGCACCAAGATCGGGAAACGCTCCCAGGTGGAGCCAGGAGCTGAGGAGGCGCCAGGATTCGCTTCTGAAGGATTCTGCATCCCAATTATTGGCATCATCGGTTCTCCATAATTAATTATTCATAATCAATCAGCGTCATCAATCAATCAATCAATCACTGTCCCAGGTGGAAGCAGCAGCACTTGAGGGGTCCCTGGGCCAAATCTCTATCCCCGGATGGATCCCAGGAATCCCGGGATTCCGGGGCCTGCAGCGCTGCCGGCTCCTCCTGGGGTCACATCCCAGGGAAAGGCCCTGAATCCCCCAAGGGTTCTCCCCAAATTCCCAAAGGATCCTCCCCAAATTCCCCAAGGATCCTCCCCAAATTCCCCAAGGATCCTCCCCAAACAAAGACCCCAAATTCCCCAAGGATTCTCCCCAAATTCCTTAAGGATCCTCCCCAAATTCTTTAAGGATTCTCCCCACACAGGGAAATTCCCCCAAATTCCCAAAGGATTCTCCTCACAAGTCCTTGAAATTCCTTAAGGATCCTCCCCAAATTCCTTAAAGATTCTCCCCAAATTCCCCAAGGATCCTCCCCACACAGGAAAAGGCACCAAGATTCCTTAAGGATTCTCCTCTCCAGTCCTGGAAATTCCTCAGGAATTCTTCGTGAAGAGGAAAGATCCGCCCAGTTCCTCAGGAATTCCGTCCCATCCTCCGGAGCGGGACCAGGAGCCTCTGGAGTCCCCGGGTGGGTTTGGCCCAAACCCTTCGGCTTCCCGAGGGAGCGGCGGCTTCCCGGGGTTCCCAGGATTCCCAGGATTCCCAGGATTGCCCCCCATAAGGGCTCAGACGTGGCTGACGCGGCTGTCGGCGGGGCCGGAGCGCTCGCGGCGCTCATAGCGCGGCTTCCGCACTGCCGGGAACAAATCCCACAAATCCCGCAATTCCCAAAGGGATGAGGAGGTGGAAGGGGGGGGTCGCTGCCCAAGGGGGGTTTGGGGATTTTTGGGGAAGTTTAAGGTCAAAGTTAAACCTAAATCAACAAAATTCAGCCCCCAAATGTAAAGCCACAAACCCCAAATTAAACCCAAAACCAAACCCAAACTCAAAATTAAACCCAAACACTGAAATCCAAACCCCAAAATGAAACCCACAAAACCCAAACCCAAAAACCTGAAATCCAAACCCAAAATGAAACCCAAAACCAAATCCAAACCCAAAATGAAACCCACAAAACCCAAACCCGAAATTAAACCCAAAAAACCCAAACCCCACAAGACCCAACCACAAACCCAAACCCACAAACTCAACCCCAAAAGCAAAATGAAACCCTCAAAACCCACAAAATCCAACCCCAAAAGCAAAATGAAACCCTCAAAACCCACAAAATCCAACCCCAAAAGCAAAATGAAACCCTCAAAACCCACAAAATCCAACCCCAAACCCCATAAAACTCAACCACAAACCCAAACTTAAACCCACAAACCCAACACCCAAACCTAAACCCACAAACCTAAACCCCACAAAACCCAACCCAATTTAAACCCCAGAACCCAAACCTCCAAACCCAAATCTAAACCCACAAAACCAGAATTAAACCCCAAAACCCGAACCCCACAAACCCAAACCCCACAAAACTCAACCAAAAACCCAAAACCCAAACCTAAACCCACAAACTCCATCCCAAAACCAAAACGCAACCCACAAACCCAAACCCCACAAAACCAAACCTCACAAAACCCAAGACCAAAACCAAACCTAAACCCTCCAAACCCGAACCTAAACCCACAAACCCAACCCCAAACCCCACAAAACTCAACCACAAACCCAAACCTAAACCCACAAACCCAAACCCCACAAAACCCAACCCCAAATTTAAACCCCAAAACCCAAACCTCCAAACCCAAATCTAAACCCACAAAACCAAAATTAAACCCCAAAACCCAAACCTCCAAACCCAACCCCGCAAAACTCAACCCACAAACCCAAATTCACAAACTCAACCCCAAAACCAAAATGAAACCCCCAAAACCCAAACCCAAAATCAAACCCAAAACTTCCAAACCCAAACCTAAACCCACAAAACCAAACCTTAATAATCCAAAACCCAACCCCCAAACCTAAATCCACAAACCCAAACCCCACAAACCCAAACCCCACAAAACTCAAACTCCACAAAACTCAAACCCCACAAAACCCAAGCCCAAACCCAAACCTAAAACCTCCAAACCCAAACCTAAACTCACAAACCCAAACCCACAAACCCAACCCCAAAACCAAAATGAAATCCAAACCCAAACCCCACAAAACCCAACCCCAAATTTAAACCCCCGAAACCCAAACCTCCAAACCCAACCCCACAAAACTCAACCACAAAATCAAACCCAAAACTTCCAAACCCAAACCTAAACCCACAAAACCAAACCTAAATAATCCAAAACACAACCCCCAAACCTAAACCCACAAACCCAAACCCCACAAAACTCAAACCCCACAAAACTTAAACCCCACAAAACCCAAGCCCAAAACCAAACCTAAAACCTCCAAACCCAAACCTAAACCCACAAACCCAAACCCACAAACCCAACCCCAAAACCAAAATGAAACCCACAAACCCAAACCCCACAAAACCCAACCCCAAATTTAAACCCCAAAACCCAAACCTAAACCCACAAAACCCAAGCACAAACCCAAAATTAAACCCCAAAACCCAAACCTCCCAACCCCACAAACTCAACCCCAACCCCAAATTTAAACCCCCAAAACCCAAACCTCCAACCCCAAATCTAAACCCCCAACCCCCAAATTAAACCAATTAAAATTTAATTTAATGAAGTTTAATTAAAACTAAACCCAAACACCCAAACCTCCAAAGCCAACCCCACAAAACCCAACCCCAAACCCCAATATCCATTTTCCACCCCAAAATTCCCATGGTATTTTGGCCTGTGTGAATTAAAGCAACGGATCCCACGGGAAAAAGCAAATTCCATGGGGTTTCTCTTCCCTGCACACATTCCAGGCTTTATCCCAAGGATTTTTGGGATTTTCCATTTATTTTTAGCAGATTCCAGGGGAGATTTCCTCACCTGAAGAAGTCGGAGGAGGGATCATGGATGCCTGTGGAGCAGGAGAAGGAAAATAAGGTCAAAAAAAAGCATTTCTTAACTGTTTTTCCATAAAAATCCTGGAATTTTTAAGAATTCCAATAGTATTCATGTCAAAAAAAAGCACTTTTCAACAGTTTTTCCATAAAAATCCTGGATTTTTTTTGGATTCCAATGACATTTATGTCAAAAAAAGCACTTTTAAAACAGTTTTTCCTTAAAAATCCTGGAATTTTTAAGAATTCCAATAGTATCCAGGTCAAAAAAAGCACTTTTCAACAGTTTTTCCTTAAAAATCTTGGAATTTTTTAGGATTCTAATAAAATCCAGGTTAAAAAAAAGCACTTTTTAACCACTTTTCCAAAAAAGTCCTGGAAATTTTTAGGATTCCAGTAATATTCATTTGGAAATAAAAACTTTATAACAGTTTTTCCTTAAATAAAATCAGGATTTTTTTAGGATTCCTTGAATTTTCCCTGTGTAGTTTTTTTCTTGGAAAAAACCCTTGATTTTTCCATTTTTGTCCCAATTTGGATCCAAAGAACCTCAAAATACCTTGGATTTTCTTTCAGTCTCATTCATTAAGGAGTTGCTTAATAAAGTTTCAATTTTGTCAATTAAAATGGGAATTATCGTTAATTAAAAAGAGAATTATTGTTAATTAAAATGAAAATTAAGGTTAATTAAAAAGGGAATTATCGTTAATTTCATGTTCCTATAAAAGCAGAATTCACTCACAGTTTCACTGGGTTGGAGAACAGATGCTAAAAGAGAAAAAAAAAGAGATTAATTAAGATTATTTAAATTAATTTCAAGGCCAGAATTGTTCATTTTCCAAAAATACAGCCATGGATGGAATAATTTTATTGTTAAAAAAGGAATTTTGTCCCAAAATCCAACCAAAATATTCCAAAATTCCCTTTGGAGGATTTAACTGGGTGGAGGATCCTTAAGACCGGAGAATTTCTTGGCACAAAATGGGAATTTTCTCTAAAAAAAGGGAATTTCCTCCAAGAAAGGGAATTCAGCAGCACAAAATTGGAATTTCCTCCACAAAATTGGGATTTTCTCCTCTAAATGGGCAATTTATCAGCACAAAATGGGAATTTCATCCAAAAAAAAGGAATTCAGCAGCATAAAATGGGAATTTATTGGCAGAAAATTGGAATTTATTGGCACAAATTGGGAATTTCCTCAAAAAAAAGGGAATTCAGCAGCACAAAATGGGAATTTATTGGTACAAAATGGGAATTTTCTCCACAAAATGGGGATTTATGAGCTAAAAATGGGAATTTATTGGCACAAATTGGGGATTTTCTCCACAAAATAGGGGATTTAACAGCCCAAAACAGGAGATTTTCTCCACAAAACAAGATTTTATTGGCATAAAATTGGAATTTCCTCCACAAAATTGGGATTTTCTCCTCTAAATGGGCAATTTATCAGCACAAAATGGGAATTTCCTCCAAAAACAGGGAATTCAGCAGCACAAAAAGGGAATTTATTGGCACAAAATGGGGATTTATGAGCTCAAAATGGGAATTATCTCCACAATATTGGAATTTATTGGTACAAAATGGGGATTTTCACTACAAAATTGGAATTCATTGGCACAAAATGGGAATTTTCTCCACAAAATTGGAATTCATTGGCATAAAATGGGAATTTTCTCGACAAAATGGGGATTTATGAGCTCAAAATGGGAATTTCTTGGCACAAAATGTGAATTTTCTCCACAAAATTAGAATTTATTGGCACAAAATGGGGATTTATGAGCTCAAAATGGGAATTATCTCCACAATATTGGAATTTATTGGTACAAAATAGGGATTTTCTTCACAAAATTGGAATTCATTGGCACAAAATGGGAATTTTCTCCACAATATTGGAATTCATTGGCACTAAATAGGAATTTTCTCCACAAAATTAGAATTCATTGGCACAAATCAGGGATTTTCTCCACAAAATTATATTTTTCTCCACAAAATTGGAATTTCTTGGCACAAAATGGGAATTTTCTCGACAAAATGGGGATTTATGAGCTCAAAATGGGAATTTCTTGGCACAAAATGAGAATTTTCTCCACAAAACAGGGATTTATGAACTCAAAATGGGAATTTTCTCCACAAATTGGGAATTTCCTGGCACAAAATGGGAATTTTCTTCACAAAATTGGAATTTATTGGCACAAAATGGGAATTTCCTCCACAAAATTGGAATTTCTTGGCACAAAATGGGAATTTTCTCCACAAATTGGGAATTTCTTGGCACAAAAGGGGAATTTTCAGGTTTCAATTCCCATTTCAATCAATTAACAGAGCAAGGTTCATTAAGGAATGGATAATTAAGGGTTTTTTTTTACCTTTGTTCCTCCTGTAGAAAACCTTTGGGAGTTTGTTGGTTCGTTTGAGGTAGAAAAACGAAGCCACCGAGAGGATGAGGAATAAACTGAGGAAAAACGTCCCCAAAATCAGGGAAGCGGCGACTTCCGGACCCCCTGGAAATATAAAAATTATCAAAATACAAAATCTGCTCTGAGCCAAAAATCGCTTTTCATCAAAGGATTAAATCCAAATAATGAGAAAATTATGGATTTTTGGGTGTTGTTGGGTAAGTGTTCGATCATATGATAAATTCAATCATTTTTTAAACTCATTATATTATTTTTTTTTCCTCATTAAATCGCTTTTAAACTCATTAAATTGCTTTTTAAACTCATTAAATCAAATTTTTACCTCATTTTAACAAATTAAATCCCTTTTGGAACTTATTTTAACAAATTCAGTCACACTTAAAACTCCTTAAATCCATTTTTTGACTCGTTTTAAACTCATTAAATCCATTTTTCAACTGATTAAATCAATTTTATAACTCATTTTAACAAATTAAATCACTTTTTAAACTCATTAAATCCCTTTATAAACTCATTGAATCAATTTTTAAACTAAATTCTAACAAATTAAATCCCTTTTAAATTCATTAAATCAAATTTTTAACTAATTTTAACAAATTCAGTCACACTTAAAACTCCTTAAATCCATTTTTGACTTATTTTAACAAATTCAATCACTTTTAAACTCATTAAGTCCCTTTTTTAACTCATCTGAAAAAATTAAATCATGTTTTAAACTCATTTTAACAAGTTAAAGCCCTTTTAAAACTCATTAAATCCATTTTTAACTCATTTTAACCAATTCAACCCCATTTTTAACTCATTAAATCCCTTTTTAAACTCATTAAATGCCTTTTTTAACTCATTTTAACCAATTAAATCCCTTTTAAAATCCATTTTAAACTCTTTAAATCTCTTTTTAAACCCATTTTTCACCAATTCAATTCCATTTTTAACCAAATCAGTCCCATTTTTAACCCATTTTCACCAATTCAATCCATTTTTAACCAATTAAATCTCAATTTTATTCAATTTTTAATCAATTCAATCCAATTTTTAACTCATTAAATCACTTTTTAAACTCATTAAATGCCTTTTTAAACTCATTTTAACAATTAAGTGTCATTTTTAACCCATCCTAACCCATTCAATCCCATTTTTAACTCATTTTCACCAATTCAATCCCTTTTTTAACCCACTTTAATGAATTCAATCAATTTTTAACCCGTTTTCACCAATTCAATCCATTTTTAACCAATTAAATCCCAATTTTATTCAATTTTTAACCAATTCAATCCCATTTTTAACCCATTCAATCCCATTTTTAACCAATTCAATCCCATTTTTAACCCATTTTTAACCCATTCAATCCCATTTTTCACCAATTCAGTCCCAATTTTAACCCATTTTTAACAATTAAATCCATTTTTAACCAATTAAATCCCAATTTTATTCAATTTTTAACCAATTCAATCCCATTTCTAACCCATTTTCACCAATTAAATCAATTTTTAACCCATCCAGTCCCATTTTTAACCCATTTTAACCCATTCAGTCCCATTTTTAACCCATTTTTAACCCATTCAGTCCTGTTTTTAACCCATTTTTAACCCATTCAGTCCTGTTTTTAACCCATTTTTAACCCATTCAGTCCCGTTTTTAACCCATTCAGTCCCGTTTTTAACCCATTCAGTCCCGTTTTTAACCCATTTTAACCCATTCAGTCCTGTTTTTAACCCATTTTTAACCCATTCAGTCCCATTTTTAACCCATTTTTAACCCATTCAGTCCTGTTTTTAACCCATTTTTAACCCATTCGGTCCCATTTTTAACCCATTCAGTCCCATTTTTAACCCATTCAGTCCCATTTTTAACCCATTTTTAACCCATTCACTCCTGTTTTTAACCCATTCACTCCCGTTTTTGACCCATTCAGTCCCGTTTTTGACCCATTCAATCCCGTTTTTAACCCATTCAGTTCCATTTTTAACCCATTTTAAATCCATTTTTAACCCATTCAGTCCCGTTTTTAACCCATTCAGTCCCGTTTTTAACCCGTTTTTAACCCATTCAGTCCCGTTTTTAACCCATTCAGTCCCGTTTTTAACCCCTCCGCTTGCTCTCCCCAGTCCCAGACTCACCGAAGCCGTGGCCGAGGGCCGTGGCCGCGCTCCCGTTCCTCTCGGGGCTCATCCCTCGGCTCCCAGCTGCAAGGAAAATCCCAAATTTCCCCAATTCCATCCCGGCCCAAGGCTGCACATTGCCCCAAATTCCCACTCTTCCCACCCAAAGCTGCCCTTGGGAAAGGTTTGGATATTCTGGGGGAGGAAAATCGCCATTTTCTGCTGCTTTTTTTGGTTTTTGGTGCAGGAATCACTGACAATAATTAAAAAATAATTATAATTAATTACAGCTAAATTAAAATTAATTTACAAAATTAATATGAACAAAAATTGAAGGATGAGGGATAAAAAAATCTCCATTTTTTGCTGCCTTTTTGAGGAGTTTTTGCAGTAATTGATTAATAACTAATAAAATTATGTAAATTAGTTGGAAGTCATGTGAATTAAATGAACGAGGGGAATTAATGGGAATGGACTGAGATGAATTAATGGGAATGAATGGGAATGGATGGAAATTAATTAATGGGAATTAACAGGAATAGGCTGAAATGAATTAATGGGAATTAATGGGAATGGATGGAGATGAACGAGGAATTAACGGGAACAACTGAGATGAATTTGCAGGAATTAACGGGAATGGATTGAGATGAATTAATGGGAATGGACTGAGATGAATTAACGGGAATTAACGGGAATGGACTGCGATGAACTAACGGGAATGAACGGGAACAACTGATCTGAATTAATGGGAATTAACGGGAATGGATTGAGATGAATTAATGGGAATGGACTGAGATGAATTAACGGGAATTAACGGGAATGAACGGGAACAACTGATCTGAATTAATGGGAATTAACGGGAATGGATTGAGATGAATGAATGGGAATGGACTGAACTGAATTAACGGGAAGGACTGAGCTGAATGAACAGGAATTAACAGGAAAGACTGAGCTGAATGACCGGGAATGAACGGATCCAGACTCACGGGCGCTGCAGTCGCCGAGGTCGCTCCCGTTGCGGCAGCGAACGCAGCTGCTGCTCCCGTCCTCGGCCCAGCGCCGGTAGCAGCCTGCGGGACAGGAGAGCGCTGAGCCGGCAATTCCCATCCCGGGAATTCCCACAATTACCAGGATACACCGCAGGAATTCCCTTTGGGGGGCAGGCACCCGATTGCCCTTGCCCACAGGAAAGAAGGTCTATTCCCAATGTTTGTTCCCAAAGTTTGGATTCCCAATGTTCCCAGCGTTTGTTCCCAATGTTTCTTCTCCTAATGTTTTTACTCCCAATGTTTTTATTCCCCATGTTTCTTTTCCCTGTGTTTTTATTCCAAATGTTTCATCCCAATGTGTTTATTCCCTGTGTTTCTTTTCCTAATGTTTTTGTTCCCAATGTTTTTATTCCCCATGTTTCTTTTCCCTGTGTTTTTATTCCCAATGCATTTATTCCCAGTGTTTCTTCCATTTCCCAGGAAAAATAACACTTTACAAAGGAAAAAAATAGAGAAGGAAGTTCACGGGAATAACAAAAATCCGGGAATTTTTTCTCCCTGGAATTCTCCAAGGCCAGCTTGCTCTCTGCCCATGGAATAACTGATCCTTAAGGGCTTTTCTGGTCCCAGATTCCCTGGATTTTTCCCAAGGAATTCCCTACCTGGGCTGCACTGCTGTGTGACCGGGCAGGAGCTGTTGGAGTCCAACGTTTCCACACAACATTCCGGGTCTGGCACCTGAGGAGAGAAATTCCCAGGGAAATTCCCATTTGCCAGGGAGGAAAATGCCTCCACCGAAGGAAAAATCTCCACAGAAATTCAGGATAATTCCGTTAAAACCTACTGGAATTTTTTTTTCAGCAAGAAGGAGAGAACTTTGTTTATTTTTAATTTTGTTTCTTGTTTTATGAATTGATTTTATTTTCATAAAACAATTTTATTTTTGTTTTATCAATAAGATTTTTATTTTAGAAATGAAAATAGAGAAAATCTGGGATCAAATCAAAATAAAATCAAAATAAAATCAAAATAAAATCAAAATAAAAAAATAAAATTTAAATAAAATAAAATCTAGAAAAGAATTTAAAATAAAGGAAAATATTAAAAAAATTAATTTAAAATAAATTTAAAATAAATAATAAAATGAATAAAAAATAAAAGAAAGACAAAAATTAAAAAATTTTAAAGAATTTAAAAATTAAAAATAAAAAAAAGTTAAAAAACAAATAGAAAAATTTAAAAAATGAAAAAATAAAATAAAAATAAAATAAAAAATTAATTATTTTTACAAAATATAAAAAATAAAAATAAATAAAATAAAAAATGAAAAATAAAATTAAAAATATAAATAAAATAAAAATAAAATAAAAAAACAAAACAAAACAAAATAAAATAAAATAATCTGGATTGGAGCAGGAAAAATTTCTGGAGAACCCACCGAGTTTTCCGTGGATTTTCCGGCAACTTCTGCCACGAGCCTGGTTAGGAGAAGCACAAAGGGCACCTCCATTGCCAGGAGAAACACAGATCTGGAGAAAACCGGGAATACATTCAAATTATTTATTAATGGCACCGGAATTCTGCTTCCCTTTGTTAAGGGGGAAAAAGGAAGGGAAAAAAGAAGGCTGGGAAGAGACAGAAAACACAGGAAAAATTATTATTTATTATAAAATATAATAAAATTAAACAATTAATGAGATTTTTGTCAATACCTGCTGATTCAAAGTAATAAAACACATGAAAAAAGATTATTTATTACAAAACAATAAAAATATAATAAATATGAATTAATTTTTCTATAAAACATATAAAAACATAATAAAATTACATTCTCAATTAAATTATCAATATTATAAATTCTTAATTTTTGTCAATCCCTGCTGATTCAGAGCCAGAAAACACATTAAAAAGGATTAGTTATTATAAAACATAATTAAAATATAACAAATATATTTTTCTATAAAAGATAATAAAATTAAATTATTAATGTTAATTAAATTGTGAATTTTTGTCAATCCCTGCTGCTTCAAAGGCACAAAAACCACAAGTAAGGAAGGATTATTTATTAAAAATAAACCACACTCAAATAAAATTCTTATTTAAAAACCAGATTGTCCTTACCTAGAACAGGAACCGTGAAGAGCAGCTCATAATAAAGGGAAAATTTAGGTGGAAAAACCACTTGGAAGCACGGGATGGTCCCGATCAGCTCATTCCTGGCTGGATTCCCATCCCTAAAATAAACCGGGATCCCTCAGGAGCCACAGGGCTGATCCCGAACCCGCCCCGCTCCGGTGCTCTCACTTCCAGCAGCCAATTTCACTCCATTTTTATTTCATTTTTAAAATTATTTTGTTTTTACTTCATTTCTGCTTAATATTTTTAATTATTTTTACTTCATTTTTAAAATTATTTTGGTTTTACTTCATTTCTGCTTGATTTTTAAATTGTTTTTACTTTATTTCACTTCTTTTTTACTTCATTTTTAAAATTACTTTCATTTTTACTTGATTTTTTGAAGTTACTTTATTTTTACTTCATTTTACTTAATTTTTACTTCATTTTAAAAATTATTTTCCTTTTTACTTCATTTCTGCTTAGTTTTTAAATGATTTTTACTTCATTCCCAGTTAATTTGTAAAATTACTTTCTTTTTACTTCATTTCTGCTTAATATTTTTAATTATTTTTACTACATTTTAACTTCATTTTTTAAATTCTTTTCACTTCATTCCTGCTTCATTTTTTAAAAATATTTTTACTTTATTTTACTTAACTTTTGCTTAATTTTAAAAATTATTTAATTAAAATTAATTAAAATAAAATTTGAATTATTTTAAAAAGGAGATATGAATTAAAAAGTATTTTCCCCTCAGGATTTTCCTGCCAGTGGAAGAAAATATTGGAATTCCAAGCAGGATCTCACAGCCTGGGAAGGAACAACTCCTTTGGGCCAAAGCTGCCTCCAAGGATGGGGTTTTACCTCAGAAATTGAAATTTAGAGAGGAAAAAATATCCCAAAAACCTTCAGGAGATTTGGGATCCACCAAAGCTGAGGAGAGGCCGAGCTTGGAAAGGGAACGGGAGAGGAAATCTGGGTGGGAAATTGGGAAGGAATTCTGCCCTCTCAGGGGATGGGATGGAATTCCTGGGTTTGGGATGGTATTCCCAGGGAATTTGTGGCTGCCCCATCCCTGGAATTGCCCAAAGCCAGGCTGGAACAACCCGGGATAGTGCAAGATGGAACTGGATGAGCTTTAAATTCCCCCCAGCCCATCCCATCCCACACAAATTTCCCACAAATTTCCCTCAGGATCAAACACCCACAGCAAAAGAATTCCCAAAAAAATCTGTTCCGTGTTTGTTTCCCTGTGGATTCTGGAAAAAAAAAAGGAGTCATAAAGACTGCAGCCCCAATTAAAAAGTATTTTCCCCTCAGGATTTTCCCGCCATCACAGGAAAATATTGGAATTCCAAGCAGGATCTCACAGCCTGGGAAGGAACAACTCCTTTGGGCCAAAGCTGCCTCCAAGGATGGGGTTTTACCTCAGAAATTGAAATTTAGAGAGGAAAAAATATCCCAAAAACCTTCAGGAGATTTGGGATCCACCAAAGCTGAGGAGAGGCCGAGCTTGGAAAGGGAACGGGAGAGGAAATCTGGGTGGGAAATTGGGAAGGGTTGGAAAGGGAGAAATGATCAAACAGAGGAAAATCAGAGAGGTTTTAAGAGCTGAAATGATAAAAGTATAGAAAATGATAAAAATTGAAATGATGAAACTGAGAAAAGAAGGTGAAATGATAAAATTGAGAGAAGAAAGGAAGGGTTTTAAAGGTTGAAATGATAAAATGAAATTATAAAATTGATAAAATGGAAGGGTTGGAGAAGCTGAAATAAAACTGAGAGCAGAACCACAGGGTTTGAAAAGTTAGAATTATAAGATTGAGAGAAGGACTGAAGAGTTTTAAAAGGAGAAATACAAAAATGAGAGCAGAACCAGAAGGTTTTAAAGGTTGAAATGATAAAACTGAGAGAAAAATTGAAGGTTTTTAAAAGGTGAAATGATAAAATGAAATTATAAATACTGAGAGAAGAATGAAAGTGTTTTAAATATTGAAATGGTAAAACAGAGAGAGGAATGAAAGGGTTTTAAAAGCTGAAATGATAAAATTGAGAGAAGACAGAAAGGGTTTTAATGATAAAATTGAGAGAAGAATTAAGGGGTTTTAAAAATTGAAATAATAAAATTTAGAGGATAATGGAAGGGTTTTAAAAGGTGAAATTATAAAAACTGAGAGCAGAAAGGAAGGGTTTTAAACATGGAAATGACAAAACTGAGAGCAGAACCAGAGGGTTGGAAAACTTGAAATGATAAAACTGAGAGAAGAATTAAAAGGTTTTAAAAGGTGAAATGATGAAATTGAGAGCAGAATGGAAGGGTTTTAAACATGGAAATGATCAAACAGAGAGAAGATGGAAAAGGTTTTAATGATAAATTTGAGAGAAGAATTAAAGTATTTTAAACATTGAAATTATAAAATTGAGAGCAGAATGGAAGAGTTTTAAACATGGAAATGCCAAACCAGAGCAGAGTGCCAGGGTTTTAAAAGCTGAAATTATAAAACAGAGCAGAATTAAAGGGTTTTAAAAGGTGAAATGACAAAATTGAGAGCAGAATTAAAGGGTTTCAAACATGGAAATGCCAGAGCAGAGCAGAATGGAAGAGTTTTAAACATGGAAATGACAAAATTGAGAGCAGAACCAGAGGGTTGGAAAAGTTGAAATGATAAAACTGAGAAGAAAACTTGAAATGATAAAATTGAGAGAATAATGAAAGGGTTTTAAAAAATGAAATTATAAAACTGAGAGCAGAATGGAAGGATTTTAAAGGCAGAAATGACAAAATTGAGAGCAGAATGGAAGGGTTTTAAAAGCAGAAATGACAAAATTGAGAGAAGAATGGAAGGGTTTTAAAAGGTGAAATGATAAAATTGAGAGCAGAATGGAAGGGTTTTAAACATGGAAATGATAAACCAGAGCAGAATGGAAGAGTTTTAAACATGGAAATTATAAAACAGAGCAGAATGGAAGGGTTTTACACATGGAAATGCCAAACCAGAGCAGAATGGAAGGGTTTTAAACATGGAAATGCCAGAGCAGAGCAGAGTGCCAGGGTTTTACACATGGAAATGATAAACCAGAGCAAAGTGCTAGGGTTTTACACATGGAAATGCCAGAGCAGAGCAGGTTTTGAGGGCTGCCCATGCCACTCACCAGCCCCTGGAGGCTCCCTGGAGTCCCGAGTGCCTTTTCCAGCCTCCAGCCAACGCCTTTGCCTCGTGCTTTGCTGCTCATCCCCCGTTGCACAACGCACCTGCCCTGGCAGAGACACGGAAAGGGTTGATTTGTTTGAACGATCTTTTCTCAATCCCAGCTGGAGGAGGACTCGTTTTTCCAGCTCTGAGCAGAGCTCCAGTCCTGCCCTTCCACGCTGGGGTTTTGTACCAGCGCTCAGCAATTAAAACCTCAATTCAGCCACAGCCACCTTAAGCCAGGCTTTGTGTTTTGCTCCACACCTGCCTGGAGGAACCAGCCATGAATATTTACTGCTGGGACACCTTCTGCTCTTCCAGCCTTGCTGCAGCATGGAAAGCCAGCAGCAGAAGTGAATATTCTCCAGGGAGAAGTGGTTTGGGAATGGGATAAAGGAATGGGTTGGCTCAGAAGGGATTTCAGGGCATTCAGTGCCAGCCCCAGCCACGGCAGGGCCACCCTGCACTGTCCAGCCTGGCCTTGAACATTCCAGGGATGGGATATCCATGGAATAACCAGCGCCAGGGCCTCAGCACCCTCACAGGGAGGAATTCCTTCCCAGTATCCAAGCTAAACCCACTCCCTGTCACTTGGAAGGAATTCCCCCCTTATCCTGTCATTCCATCCCCTGGAAATATTCCCTTTCCATCTTTCCTGGAAGGTCACGAAGCGGTCACCGCAAAGTTTCCCTTCTCCAGGCTCAACAATCCCAATGTTTCTATGGCCAGTTTGGGGGGGTTTCACCCCTAAATGGTGCACTAAAATCCCTATTATTGGGCTGTGCATCTGGGGGAAGCTTAGCCACCAAAAACACACCAGAACAGTAACACCAAATACCCGCAACCCCAACAAGCTTAGCTTGGCAAAAAATTGTCTCCAACCGAATTAAATTACTAGGAAATAAAGCACCCAAAGTTTCGGGGGGTGGGATAAGAAGGAGAGGGTTCCTTTCCAAACGCAGCAGCAACCCGCTGGCCCCAAAAGCGCTGGGCGAGGAGGAGAAACAAGGGGCGATTTCAAATCCTAAAGCCAAACCCCTCCGACCCTCCTGGTGCCGATTTCCCTGGAGAACTCGGGGAATCCATGAGGAAGCGCTGCCCTCCCGGCTCTCCGAGAACAATGGGGCCCCACCCCGGGCTCGCCGCTCGCCCCGGGGGTCGCCGCCCGTTCCCCCTCCCGCTTCCTCCTCCTCCTCCTCCTCACCTGAGGGCAGCCCCGAGCATCCCCCCGGCACCGCCGAGGTTCCCGTTCGTACCCCCCGCCCTCCACCGGCGCCCTGCCCGCTGCGCCCCGCGGCACCCTGGGACTTGTAGTCCCGCGGCCGCCGCCCGCCGCGCCGTTTGGCCGAGCGTCCTCTCCGCCAAGAACTACAAATCCCGAGAGGATCCGCGGCGCGCCCCACCTGTACCCGCTCCCCGCAGGTAAATGCGCTATCTCAGCCTTTTCGCGCCGCGCCGCGGTGCCTGCTGGGAAAGCGAGTCCCGCGCTGCCGGCGGGGCGCGGGGGCAGTGGGGTCTCCGCACTACAACTCCCGGCGTGCCCCGCGCGCCCGCCGCCATTTCAGGCGTTGCCCGGCAACGTTGACGCGGCGGGAGGGAGGAGGTGGCGGGGTCGAGGCCTGTGCGCCTAAAAATCCTGGGAATTCGGGAAAATCGGGAACAGCTGGCCCAGATGTGGCTGCCCCATCCCGGGCAGTGTCCAAGGCCAGCTCGGACGGCACTGGGAGGTGGCCCTGCCCATGGGAAGGGGTGGGACCGGATGGGATTGAAGATCCCTTCCCACCCAAATCATTGAACCGTGCAGAATTCCAGAGAGGAAGCCGTGTCGTTTATTTCTCCCCCCAAAAATTCTCTTTTTTTTCTGGGGTTTATTTCCCCTAAAAAAAAATCTCCTTTAAATGTGGCTTATTTCCCCTAAAAATCTCCTTTTTTGGGGGTTTATTTTCCCTAAAAATCTTATTTTTCTGTGGTTTATTCCTCCTTTTAACCCCTTGTTATTTCACGTGGGCATGAGGAGCAGCACCTTTCGCAATCCCAGAATTTTCCCAGTTCCTTGGAGCACCAATCCATTTCAATTTGGCATTTCCAAGATTTCCTGATTTCCCTCTGGATTTTTTTTTTGGCAGAAATGCTAAAATGATTCTTTTGTTGTTTTTAACACGAGGCAAATCTGGGAGCTGGGAGCTGCAGGTGGAGCAGGGAGCCTAGCAGGGGTTCCATGGATTTTCGGGAAGTCAGGAATTCCCAGAGGGCTGGGAACGGAACACCCAACTCAGAGCCGGATCCTGGATCTCTCTTAAATCTCAAAACAATTTATTTTCAATTCTTATGGATCCAATCTTGGAATTTCTCCAGACAAATCCATTCCCTCTTCCTAAAAATCCTGAATTTGGCATTCCCAGGAGCAGCAGCACTCGAGCCTGGTTTGGATCCGGATCCTGGATCTCTCCGTTAGATCTCAGAGCAATTTCTTTTCCATTCTCATGGATCAAATCTTGGAATTTCTCCAGACAAATTCATTTTCTCTTCCTAAAAAACTGACTTTGGCATTCCCAGGAGCAGCAGCACTCAAACCCAGCTCGGATTGGGATCCTGGATCTCTCTGTTAAATCTCGGAACAGTTTATTTTCCATTCTCACGGATCAAATCTTGGAATTTCTCCAGAAAAATCCATTCCCTCTTCCCAAAAATCCTGATTTTGGCATTCCCAGACATGCTGGGAACAGCAGCACCTGAGTCTAGCTTGGAGCCAGATCCTGGATCTCTCCGTTAGATCTTGGAGCAATTTCTTTTCCATTCTCACGGATTGAATCTTGGAATTTCTCCAGAAAAATCCATTCCCTTTTCTTCAAAATCCTGATTTTGGCATTCCCAGACATGTTGGGACCAGCAGCACTGGAGCCTGTTTTGGATCGGGATCCTGGATCTCTCTTAAATCTCAGAGCGATTTCTTTTCAATTCTCACCGATTGAATCTTGGAATTTCTCCATAAAAAAATGGAATTTCTCCATTCCCTCTTCCTAAAAATCCTGAATTTGGCATTCCCAGGAGCAGCAGCTCTCAAACCCAGCTCGGATCTGGATCCTGGATCTCTCTGTTAAATCCCAGAACAATTTCTTTTCCTTTCTCATGGATCAAATCTTGGAATTTCTCCAGACAAATCCATTCCCTCTTCCTAAAAATCCTGAATTTGGCATTCCCAGGAGCAGCAGCACTCGAGCCTGGTTTGGATCCGGATCCTGGATCTCTCTGTTAGATCTTGGAGCGATTTGTTTTCCATTCTCACGGCTCCAATTTGGGATTTCTCCAGACAGATCCATTCCCTTTCCTCAATCCCTGACTTTCCTGGCATTCCCAGGCTGGCTGGGGCGTTCCCTCGGAATGGACGGAGTGGATTTTTTCCTCTTGATTTTCCACTTTGTTCCTTCAAGAACCAATCAAGGCCTGGAAGATTCATTGGAAGAGAGGAAGGTGGAATTATTTGCTGGGATTTGTGGGATTCCTTGGAATTCCAACTCATCCTTCCCGCCTGGATGTGCTCTGGGCAGTGCAAACCACGCCCGGTGTGGGGTGAAGAATTCCCATGGATCCAGGGCTGGAAAAGCAGGAATGAGGAATCCCTTGGCTCTGAGGATTCCCATGGATGGAAAAGCAGGAACAAGGAATCCCTTGGCTCTGAGGATTCCCATGGATCCACAGCTGGAAAAGCAGGAATGAGGAATCCTTTGGCTCTGAGGAATTCCCTTGGATCCACCTCCGGGAAAGGAGGAACGAGGAATCCTTCAGCTGTAAGGATTCCCATGGATCTAGGGCTAAAAAAGCAGGAATGAGGAATCCCTTGGCTGTGAGAATTCCCATGGATCCAGAGCTGGAAAAGGAGGAACAAGGAATCCTTTGGCTCTGAGGAATTCCCTTGGGTCTACCTCTGGAAAAGCAGGAATGAGGAATCCCTTGGCTGTGAGAATTCCCATGGATCCAGGGCTGGAAAAGCAGGAATTCTGCCAGCAGAGGGCCAGAGGATTTGGTTACGGAAGGAAATCCGGGAGAGGGGGAGCACGAGGGCCCTGGCGCCATTCCCAGGCTCTGACACCGCATTCCCAAGGGCATTCCCAAGGTCATTCCCAAAGCCGTCAGCGCGCAGCGGGAAGTGACTCATCCCCCGGAACCGGCACGGGATCCTCACCGGGACAATTAAAATGTTGGGAGAGCTCCCAACCTCCTTCCCTCGCTGCTGGTGAAAACCGGGAATGAACCGGGAAAAGGCTCCAGAGGGACCTCCAGGAATCCCTGGATGGGCTTGGAGGCCTTTCCCAACCCCAAACCATTCCCTGTTTCTGTCCCGGGATTCTCCCAACCTTCCCTTGCCCAGCTGAGGGGAAGCCCCACGTTCCCTCTGGATGGCCTGGGAATTCCAGCAAATCTCTGCCAGGGAATTCCAGGGGCTCCAGGGGCCTGGAGAAGGATTTTCATCAGGAATTTTCCTCTCAGTCTCTCTCAGGGAATTCCAGGGGCTGCAGGAGAGAGATTTTCATTGGGAATTTTCTTCTCAATCTCTTCCAGAGAATTCCAGGATCTGCCAGGGGGCTCCAAGGAACATGGAGAAGGATTTTCCTCAGGAATTTTCCTCTTAATCTCTCCTGAAGAATTCCAGGATCTGCAGAGGCCTGGAGAGGAATTTTTATGGGGAATTTTCCTCTCCATCTCTCCCAGAGAATTCCAGGATTTGCCAGGGGCTTTCACGGAACATGGAGAGGGATTTTCCTTGGGACTTTTCCTCTCCATCTCTTCCAGGGAGAGCCACCAGCAGAGAAGGCAATTCCAGACCCCAATTCCTTTCTTTTGCGGATTTTTAGGGACACAAGGCAATTCCAGATGGGATTTTTCCCAATTTCTCAATTTTTAGGGAAGGAATCAATTCCAGACCCCAATTCCTGCAGGGCCTCCAAGGAACATGGAGAGGGATTTTCCTCGGGGAATTTTTCTCTCCATCTCTCCCAGGGAATTCCAGGGTCTTCAAGATTCTCCAGAATTCCCCATTCCTTTGGGGAATTCCTTGGGTTTAGTGCTGGGAGAACGACTGGATTGGATTCCCGCCCTTTTGTGACAGGATTTCCATGATTCCAGGATTTCCTCCTTCCCCAGCAGCAATCCCATGGCTCCAGCTGCCTCTGGATCATTTCTTCTCCACCTGGGAATAACGGCGCCACTCCTGATCCTCGGGAAAATGTAAAAAAACCCTGGAAAATGGAATTTCCCAGCCTGGAAAAGAGGAATAAATTCTGGAAAATATTTTAAAAAAACTCTGGAAAATAGGAATAAATTCTGGAAAATATTTTAAAAAAACCCTGGAAAATGGAATTTCCCAGCCTGGAAAAGAGGAATAAATTCTGGAAAATATTTTAAAAAAACCCTGGAAAATGGAATTTCCCAGCCTGGAAAAGAGGGATAAATGATGGAAATGGATGGAAAACGACAGGAAATTTTGGAAAGCAGAATTTCCCAGTCTGGAAGAGAGGGATAAATGATGGAAAATATTATAACAACCCTCAAAAATAGAATTTCCCAGTGGGAAAGAGGGATCAATTATGAAAATTGATGGAAAATGGCAGAAAATTTTGAAAACCCCTCAAAAATAAAATTTCCCAGTCTGGTAAAAAGGGATAAATTCTGGAAAATGTAAAAAAACTCTGAAAAATGGATTTTCCCAGACTGGCAAAAAGGGATCAATGATGGAAATTGATGGAAAATAACAGGGGAAAAAAAAATGGAAACCAGAATTTCCCAGCCTGGAAAAGAGGGATAGATGATGGAAAATATTTTAAATATTTAAAATATTTAAAATAAAAAAATATTTTGAAAATATTTTTTGAAAAATGGAATTTCTCAGCCTGGAAAAGAGGGATCAATGATGGAAATGGATGGAAAATGACAGGAAATTTTGGAAAGCAGAATTTCCCAGTCTGGAAAAGAGGGATAGATGATGGAAAATGTAAAAAAAAATCCTGGAAAATGGAATTTCCCAGCCTGGAAAAGAGGGATAAATTCTAGATATATAAAAAAAAAACCCTGAAAAATGGAATTTCCCAGCCTGGAAAAGAGGGATAAATTCTAGACATGTAAAAAAAACCCCTTGAATAATGGAATTTCCCAGCCTGGAAAAGAGGGATCAATGATGAAAATGGATGGAAAATTTTGGAAACCCCTGGAAAGCAGAATTCCCATGGCGGCAGGGAGGGATCAGTCCCTGTTTTCCCGCGGCTGGGTCCCCTCTGGCAGCATTCCAGGCTGTTTGTGCCGGGATGATTCAGAGGATGGGGAAGGGCTGGAGGAGCAGGAAGGGCAGCCCAGGCTCGGTATAAACACACCTGGGCCCCGCCGCTCCTGCTCCGGAACCCGGGGAGCGATCCCGGCTGGAATCGCCAGCGAGGGTTCCGAAGGAGGGAGTGGGGATTGCCGGGACATGATCCGGTCTGGCTGAGAGCCCTGCACAGGTACAGCGGGATGGGATCCGTGGGATGGGATCCATGGGATGGGATCCGTGGGATGGGATCCGTGGGATGGGATCCATGGGATGGGATCAGCCCGCGGGAGAGAAACTGGTCTGGGATTGCTGGGACTGGGAATGCTGGAAATGGGATTGTTGGATTAGGGATGGCTGGAACTGGGATCACTGGATTAGGGATCACTGGAACTGGGATTGTTGGAACTGGGATCACTGGGACAGGGATTGCTGGATTCGAGATCACGGGAACTGGAATCACTGGAACTGGGATTGTTGGAACTGGGATCACTGGGACTGTTGGAATTGGGATCACTGGATTAGGGATCACTGGAACTGGGATTGTTGGAAGTGGGATCACTGGACCAGGACAAATCCCAAATCCCATTTTAAGCCTGGCCCCTCTCTGTCTGGTTTTATGGTGTAAAGAGATCACTAGAACTGACCAAAAGTATGGAATTCCTTCCTTTGTGAACGGCTTCGTCATTTCCCAGCATTCCCAAAGCTTTGGAAAAGTGGCTGGGAAAAGGAGAGGATGAATTTAAAAAATAATCAGAAAATCAAACAAAAAACCCTCAAAACCTCAAAAAATTCCTTTGAAATTCCACGCAAGGGGGAGGCTGACTCATCCCACGGAATTCCGGGTCTCAGCTGCGCTCTCCTCGGCTCAATCCAAATCCCCGTGTTCCAAGTGATCCCCAGAAACCCCAAAAATCAAAATATCAACCAAAACTCCATGGAATGAAACGAGGAAAATGAGCAGAATCTCCATTTATTAAACCCGAGAGGTTTCCGGGGGGTCAGGGCCGCGTTTGGCAAACGAGGAGCGCAAAGGAAAGTTCGGATTTTTATTTCAAAGCAAATTTTGGGGCTGAATTTGGAGTTTAATGTCAGGATTTTGCTGTGCTGGAGCTGACACAGCCCAGACCAATAAAACCTCCTGAAATTTCATAATTCAGGTTGTGAAATAAGAGCTGGAGCGAGACGAGGCTTCTCCCTTTCCCGGTTTCCCTCACTGCTCAGAATTCCTGAAAATTCCTGGGAAAACCCCCTGGAACTGCAAAAAAAAACAAACCTAGATTGAATGGACCGGGTTCTACAAAAGAGAAGATTTAAAACCCCCCCCCAAAAAAAGAAAAAAGCAAAAACTCCCTCAGGTTTTCCTCATCTTGGAAGTTTGGGCTTGGATTTGGGATTTATCGGCATCCATGCTGCAGCTAAAAAATTTAAAAAAAAAAAAAAATCGATCTAAACTCGCTGGAAAATTCCCCAAATTTAACCCTAATTTAAATTTAAATAAATTATTTAAGTTATTTAAATTATTATTATTTATTTATTATATTTATTATATTATATTTTCTATATTCTATAGGTTATATATATTACATATTAGTAATTATATATTTATTATTATTATTGAATTATTTAATTTCAATTTCAATCAAATTTAAATTTAAGGAGACGTTGCTCCCCCCCCAAAAAATCCGTATTTAAATGAAGAGAAGCACAAAAAGAGGAAATTCCAAAGGGAAGGGAGAGGGCTGAATTCCTCATCCTCAAACCACAGAGATTTTTAATTTCCTCTTTTTTTTCCTTGTGGAATGTGGGGAATATTTGGAGTTTCTGGGCGCCGCAATGAGGACGGGAATGCGGGAGGAGCTGCGGGCTGGAATTCCGGCTCCGCTGCCTCCTCCCAGCCGGGAGGATCCTGACTCATCCCCAAAACTGTTCCCGGGAAGCTGAGCTGGCACCAGGAATTTCCTGCTGCTGCCGGCTACAGCCGCTGGAATTTGCCTCTGGATGCAGGGGGAGCTGCAGGCGGTGCCAAAATATCCCAAAGTTTGGGTGATTCCGAGCGGGATAAAGGAACAGGAGCTGGAATTTGGCTCTGGATCCAGGTGGAGCTAAAATAACCCAAAATTTGGAGGATTATGAAGGACATGAAGGCACGGGAGGGGTTTGGAGCCTGAATTTCTGGGATTGAGGCTCCAGAACTCCCAGACAGGAGCTGGAATTTGGCTCTGGATGCAGGTGGAGTTGTGAGTGTTGCCTAAAATAACCCAGATTTTTGTGATTCGGAGCGGGATGAAGGGACAGGAGCTGAAAGTTGGCTCTGGATCCAGGTTTTGCTAAAATAACCCAAAGTTTGGAGGATTCCGAAGGGGATGAAGGCACAGGAGGGGTTTGGAGCCCGAATTTCTGGGATTGGGGTTCCCGAACTCCCAGACAGGAGCTGGAATTTGCCTCTGGATCCAGGTTTTGCTAAAATAACCCAAATTTTGGGAGATTCCAAGGAGATGAAGGAACAGGAGCTGAATTTTGGTTCTGGATGCAGGTGGAGTTGTGAGTGTTGCCTAAAATAACCCAAATTTTGGGAGATTCCAAGGAGATGAAGGAACAGGAGCTGAATTTTGGTTCTGGATGCAGGTGGAGTTGTGAGTGTTGCCTAAAATAACCCAAATTTTGGAGGATTATGAAGGGGATGAAGGCACAGAAGGGGTTTGGAACCCGATTTTCTGGGATTGGAATTCGTGAACTCCCAGACAGGAGCTGGAATTTGGATCTGGATCCAGGTGGAGATAAAATAACCCAAATCTGGGTGATTCCGAGCGGGATGAAAGGACAGGAGCTCAAAAGTTGGCTCTGGATGCAGGTTTTGCCTAAAATAATCAAAGTTTGGAGGATTCTGAGGGGGATGAAGGGACAGGAGCTGGAATTTGCCTCTGGATGCAGGTGGAGCTGCAGGTGGTGCTAAAATAACCCAAATTTGGGTGATTCCGAGGGGAATGAAGGTGCAGGAATGGTTTGGACCCCAGTTTTCTGATCCTGGGGTTCTGCTCCAGAGCCGGGCTCAGGCAGTTCCCCCTTTCCCACGGGAAAACCTCCGGAACCTCGGAGAATTCCCGTGGCTCTCCCTGTGTCTCGGTGACAGCATCAGGCCTGGAATTCCACCATCTCTGCTGGGAAAAAAAAACCCCTCATTTCCTCCCTTCCCAGGTTTTTTCTGGAATTCCAGCATCCCCGGGCGGCTCCCTCCCAAAAATCCCAAAAAAACCCCATTTTTCCCCTCGTTATCTCCCCGCTGAAAAGTGTTGTCTGTCTCTTAGGCCTGGCTCATGCTCCATAATCCCTGAGGCATTCCCAGAATCAGAGATTCCCTCATGGAATCCTCTGCTCTCCTCCCAGCCCGGCTGCCGGGGGGCACCACCCGGGGTAGGTCCTCCTCGTGCTTTTTCCGCCCAAAAGGGAGGAATTTTGGTGGGAACGTCGCTCCCGTTCCAGCGGGAAAGGCTCGGAGGGATCCCTGCGGGTTCCTCGCTTCTCCCGACGCCTCCTTGGGGCTCCCTAAAACCAGAGGCAAAAAAACAAAAACATTTTCCAGACCAAATGGGAAGAATGAAAAGTGATTCCGAGGGGGATGAAGGGAAAGGAGGGGTTTGGAATCTGAATTTCTGGGATTGAGGCTCCTGAACTCCTAAACAGGAGCTGAAAGTTGGATCTGGATTCAGGTTTTGCTAAAATAACCCAAATTTTGGGTGATTCTGAGGGGAACGAAGGAAGAGGAGCTCAAAATTTGGCTCTGGATGCAGGATTTGCCTAAAATAATCAAATTTTGGGTGATTCCGAGGGGGATGAAGGAGCAGGAGCTGGAATTTGCCTCTGGATGCAGGTGGAGCTGCAGGTGCTGCCTAAAATAACCCAAATTTACAGTGATTCTGAGGGGGATGAAGGAACAGGAGCTCAAAATATGTCTCTGGATGCAGGTTTTGCCTAAAATAACCCATATTTTGGATGATTCCGAGAGGAATATAGGGAAAGGAGCTGAAATTTGGATCTGGATGCAGGTGGAGCTGCAGGTGTTGCTAAAATAACCCAAATTTTGGTGATTCCGAGGGGAATGAAGGGACAGGAGGGGTTTGGTACCCGAATTTCTGGGATTGGGGCCATCTGTTTCCTGAAGGGCCTTCAGGTGTATTTAGGGCAGACAAACTCCCCAAAATGGACCCATCCAAAATGAATCCCCCAAAATGGACCCATCCAAAATGGACCCATCCAAAATGGATCCCCCAAAATGGACCCATCCAAAATGGACTCATCCAAAATGGATCCCCCCCAAAATGGATCCCCCCAAAATGGACTCATCCAAAATGGATCCCCCAAAAAATGGATTCCCCCCCAAAATGGGCCCATCCAAAATGGATCCCCCCAAATGGATCACCCCCAAAATGGATCCCCCCAAAATGGACTCATCCAAAATGGATCCCCCAAAATGGGCCCCCCCCAGTGGAGCACGGGTTTTCCCGTTTTTATGAGCTGGATCCATTTGCAGATTGGGGGTTAATCCTGCAATTCCAGCTGCAGGGAATGAAGGAATTCACCCCAAATCTGCTGCCCCCAACTCCTTCTGTTCCCATCTCTGGGAACATTCCTCTCGGTTCGCAGGCCGGAGAGGAACTGGTGGCAGTGGGAAGGCAGCAGCTCACGCTGGGGGTGCAACGTGGAGCTCTGCACTGAGCAGCTCCAGGGCTCCAAATCCATGGAAAACGGAAACCGGAATCCCGAGGTTTCGCTCCCGTGGCCTTCCCGGCTCTGCCGCAGCTCGGGAGAGACACAAAGGGCTCCGGGGAGGGCTCGGAGCCAGCGCGGGGAGGGAGTTTGCAATGAAATTAGAAAACAAGAAAAATAAGAAAAAAAAATTAAATAAGAAAAAATAAGAAAACATCAAATAAAATATAAAATATAAAAAAAAATAAAAAATAAAATAAAATAAAATAAGAAAAAATGAAATGAAATGAAATGAAATAAAATAAAATAAAAATAATAAGGGGAAATAATAAAAGGAAATAATAAAAGAATAAAAGAAAATAATAAAAAGAAAAGAATAAAAGAAAATAATGAAATAGAATTATAAAACATAAGTAATAATATAAGAAAATAATAAGAGAAAATAATAGAAAGTAAAACAAAATATAGATAAAAATATAATATTAACATATGATATATGAATTATATGATATATAATATATGTACTACATTATACATTTATTAATATTATATTTTTATTTATATAAATAGATCTATCATATATAATATGTTAATATATTGTAGTATATTGATATAAAAATTTATATATATTATAGAATAAAATAAATAAAATAAAATAAAATAAAATAAAATTGAATGAAATAAAGTAAAATAAAATGAAGTGAAATAAAATATAATAAAATACAATAGAATAATAAAATAAAATAAAATACAGAAAAATACAATAGAAAAATAAAATAAAGTAAAATAAAATGAAATTAAATAAAATACAATAAAATACAATAGAATAATAAAATAAAATAAAATACAGAAAAATACAATAGAAAAATAAAATAAAATAAAATAAAATAAAATAAAATAAAATAATCCACCCTACGCCGTTCTTCTTTTCCAGAGTCTCCCAGGGCTCTGTTCCTGGCCGGGGGCTCCGTCATGTCGTGTTTCCCCCAGCTGTGGCACTCGAGCACTCCGGACTCTCCGAGCAGCCCCGAGCCGGCGGCGCCGCCGGTGCCCCTGAGCCCGCTGGTGCTGAGCTCGCCGGGGGAGGGCGGCCGGAGAGGCTCCCCGGGTTCGGCCAGCCCCGGCTCGCCCAAGCCGGCCTCTCCGGTGGAGTGCTCCATCTGCTTCACCAGCTACGACAACGCCTTCAAGACGCCCAAGGTGCTGCAGTGCTCGCACGTGTTCTGCCTGGAGTGCGTGGCGAGGCTGAGCGCGGCCCTGCCCGGCCCCGCCGGGCCCGGGGAGCCGCTGCCGTGCCCGCTGTGCCGCCAGCCCACGGCTCTGCCGGGCCGGGGAGCGCCGGGGCTGCGCACCTGCCGCCCGCTGCTCGCCACGCTGCCCCCCGAGCAGCAGCAGGAGCGCCTGCTCTGGATGGACGGCACCAAGCTCTGCTGCCGCCGGGCCTCGGACGACGCCGAGAACCCCGAGTCGTGCCTGTCCATCGACGTGGCCATGAGCAAGGAGGACAGCGCGGAGCCGCCGCCGCCGGGGCTGGCGGGGAGGCTGTCCCGCTGCGAGCTGTGCGACGATTGGAAACGAATCGTGCTGCTCTCGGCTCTGGTGCTCATCCTGTTCTGCATCGTGCTGTGGCCCGTGCAGTGCGCGCTCAAAACCGGCAACCTGCGCTGCTTCAGCCGCCCCGCCAGACCCCAATTCTTCACCCCCAAAACCACCCCGGCACCGGCGGCGGCCACACAGCTCCCGTTCCTCTAGGAACCCCTGGAGCTGCTCCGGGACGGGAACAGGGACAGGACCCGCTCTTCTGACAGCGGCTGGGACAAAATCCCCGTTCCTCCAGTGCCAGAGCGGCTCGGGGATGGGACCTGGGACAAAATCCCCGTTCCTGTAGGGCCGGAGCGGCTCGGGGACGGGACCTGGGGCAGGACCTGCTCTCCTGACAGCGGCTGGGACACAGCCCCCGTTCCTGTAGGGCTGGTCCCTGCTCCGGGATGGGAACAGGGGTAAGACTGCTGCTCTGGCAGAATCTGAGACAAAATCCCTTCCCAGTGGTGCCAGAGCCTCTGGATCTGCTCAGGGATGGGAACAGGGACAGGACCTGCTGCTCTGGCAACTTCTGGGACAAAATCCCTTCCCAGCAGCACCAGGAGCCTCTGGATCTGCTCGGCTCCATGGGGATGAGGAACAGGACAATTCCTGGATCTGCTCGGCTCCATGGGGATGAGGAACAGGACAATTCCCTTTCCTGGGAACGCCCGCTGAGTTCCTGGGATGGCCGGCAGACCCCGCACCACCCCCCCCGCGTCCCTGGAGTATCCCTGCGCATTCCCTGCCAGGCTCTCCGTGGAATCCGGGCCTGGAATGCTCGGGGAGCAGGAGAAGCGCGGGATCCCCCACGGCAGCGGCAGCTCCTTCCTCGAGTTCCTGAGGGAATAAAGGGATTTTTTTTCTTCTTGCCAGCTGGAGCAGCTCCGGAATTATTCCCTCGAGGAGCTGGGATGGGGAGGGCTGGATGAACAGGTGGGAAACTGCCGCATTCCAGAGGCTGGGAAGGTTCCCTGGTGCTGGAGGTGGAGCTGCCGAAGCGAGCTCATCCCATCCGCATTCCCACAGAACCCAGCACCCGCTCCACTCATTTTCCCAGGAAGATGCTCCCAAATCCCTGCTGTCCCTCTGGAAGAGGATTTTCCAGGCAGAGGCACAAACCCAGCGCAGCCTGGAGTCACCAAAGCACACCCCAACCTCTCCCCGCTGCCAAAAAATCCCGGTTTATTGGGACAGCTTTGTCCTCCTCATCCTCCAAAGCGCCGCTTTCAGACCCCACCAGTGGCTGACGCTGCTTTTATTGGAACAGGGATGTGCCAGGGATTCCCAGAGACTTCCCGGCTCCCATTCCCAAAAAATTCCATGTTTTTATGTATTTAATTCTTTGTGTTTTATTGTGTGCAAGGAGCACGCCTGGACGGATTCAGTTGTGTTTTCCACAATTCCAGGTGTCCCTGGGTAGGATTGCTCCCTTTTCCCTTGCGATTCCAGCTGCATTCCCAGGGCACTTTATCCGGAAAATTCCCAATTTCTCCCATTTTGGGGTTGGGGGGGGAATTGTCCCAGATGAGATTTCAGATCCCAAAACTGCCCTGGGGGTTCAGCAATTGGAACAGAGCCCCAAAACTGGCACGCACAGACAGGGAACAGGGATTTTTCCATGGATTTCAACATAACAGGGATCACACAGACAGGGAACAGGGATTTTTCCATGGATTTTGGTGGAGCAGGGATCACACAGACAGGGAACAGGGATTTTTCCGTGGATTTTGGTGGAGCAGGGATCACACAGACAGGGATCAGGGATTTTTCCATGGATTTTGGTGGAGCAGGGATCACACAGACAGGGATCAGGGATTTTTCCATGGATTTTGGTGGAGCAGGGATCACACAGACAGGGATCAGGGAACTTCCCTGTCCTGAGGAGCCCCAAACCGACCCCAGAATTTGAGGCTCAGGACTGGAGCTGGAGCTAGGCCCTCACTGCCCAAACCCCTCTGGAAATCTGGATTTTGGTGCCGACTCCACCGAGATTTGAGTCCAAGGGATCAAAACAAATGGGCAGATCCCCAATATCCCAGTATCCCAGGCTGGCAAGGGTTTTATCCCAAAATATCTCTGCTCTGGGGAGTCACGGTGGCATCAGGGCGAGCCCCCCACTCTCATCCCAACATCCCAACATCCCAACCCCCTGGACTATGAGGGGTCAGGTGGGTTTTACCTCCCACAAACCAAGCACTCTCTGGATCTGAAGGGCAAATTCAGGGGTCTTGGACAAACCCAGGAAAAATGGATGCTGCTTCCCAGAAAAACCAGAAATTCCAGGAAATTTCTCCCCATAAAAGCCTGAAATTCCAGGAAATTGGGATAAGAAGGAGTCAGGTGTGTGAAATCAAGAACATTCTGGATTTGAAGGGGTCTTGGACAAACCCAGGACAAATGGATGCTGCTTCCCATGAAAGGCAGAAATCCCAGGAAATTGCTTCCCATAAAATCCAGGAATTCCAAGGAAGGCCCTGGATCCGGCTCTTTCCGGTGCTGGGTGGGGAAGCGGAGGCCGCTGTCCAAGAGGGAATAAAAACCGGGACACGGCCGCTGACATCCCCGGCAGGTCAAAAATAGCGGCTTCGGAGCCAAAATAAACCCTGGTGGATTCCGTGTCCAGCTGGGGAATCCCTGGGAGCTGCCGGGGCAGGAGCAGCTCGTTCCTCAGGGATGAGGGTTCGGAGAGGGCACAGCTTCCCTGGATTGTTCCCGGGACAAAAAACCCCTGGGAATGCTGACCCTTGTGCTGTCCTTGCTCCTTCTCCTGCCACTGAGATTCCCAGTCCTGGGAGCTTCTCCCAGATTTTGGCTGACTTGGTTTTGTCAGCCAGGATATGTGGGAGATGCTGGATCCAGGGCATTTCCTTGGGGACATTCCTGGCTTTTATGGGAAGCAGTTTCCTGGGATTTCTGGCTTTTCTGGGAAGCAGCATCAATGTGACCTGGTTTTGCCCAAGACCCCTGAATTTGCCCTTCAGACCCAAAATGTTCTCGATTTCACACACCTGATTCCTTCTTATCCAAATTTCTGGATTCCTGGCTTTTTTGGGAAGCAATTTCCTGGGATTTCTGGTTTTTCTGGGAAGCAGCATGCATTTGTCCTGGGTTTGCCCAAGACCTCTGAATTTGCCCTTCAGATCCAAAGGAAAGTGATGGAATTGTCCTTCCCACTCCTTTTATCAATCCACATCCTGCTCGAGGCTGATTTTCTGTGGATTCCCAGCAGGGAAAACGCTGCAGTCCATGAGGAACAACCCCCAGGGGCGTCACCTCAGCCCTGTGGGATTCGTGGGATGCAGAAAGTCCTTGGAAAACGCTGCTGAGGGGATAAAAGACACAAAGAGGGAAAAGTGGAGACTCCCTGGCCACAGAAGAGGGGAAGGAAAGACACAAAAATCCTGCGAAACCCCGGGATTTGGATTGGAATTCACAGAAAAACTGAATTGAGGAGCCATGGGAACCCCTCTGCTCCAGCCCCCTCTGCCCAGCAAACAGCACCAGAAAAAAACAGGATCTTCCTTTATTCCAGAGGGAAAGAAAAGAAGCACCAGGCCCCTTAAAAACCTCTCAAATTGTTTCCAAACTTTTATTTCTGGGTGATTTGACGAAAGACACGAGTTAGTAACGGTTACATCATGCTGCTCCTCTACTGCGCGGCGCCCTTCGGAATTCAGCCAGCGGCTCCCAAAGTCGGGAATTCTCCCTCTCCACCGAGCCACACGGACAGCTCAAGGGGTTTCAATTAAAAAAAAAGCCCCAAAAAAACCTAAAATCCAGAAAAAAAAACCCACCTCGATGTCTTTTTTGGGGGTTTTTTGCAGGTTTTGTGGTAGAAATGTTAACAGTGAAGTGCACGGCTCGAAGGGCGCTGCTGGAAATTCCAGATGCTCCCCCAGAGGACACAAAATCCCGGTTTAAGGCATTTCCAAGCCCCAGCGAAAGCAGAATGAGGTTTTAGCTTTGTTTTTGTTCTGTTGTTGGGTTTTTCTTGGCCGTTTCTTGACTTCATTCCTGAAAATCAGCAGCTTCCCCGTCCCTCTGGAGTTGGAACATTCCAGCTGGGAATGCCATTCCCAAAATATGGATTGGGGGACTCCCCAGTCCATCCCTCCCAGCCCAGCCCAGCATTTCCCACCAGGAATCCCAATTTGGACTAAAAATGGGAATTTTGGCACCCCAGGAACGCTCCTAGCCACAGCAGAGCCCTCACCCGGCACAGCCCCCCATGGAATATTTAACCCAGGATCTTCCACAGGATTGGGAATATTTTTATTGGATTTTTTTTTTTTTAATCAAATAAATGAAATAAAAGCAGATCCAAGTGGTTTTTCCATAGGTTTTCCCTCTTGGTTCCACCTTTGTTCAGAGCTCATCCTGAGAGAAGAAATTTGACCTTTCCTGCCTCAAAGGTTGGTGCCAAAATTCCCGTTTTAAAGGGAGCCCAGCAAGGTGGGATAGAAATTTAGGGGGAAAAATGCCACATTCCAGGAATTCCCACCCAAAAGCTGGTGGGATCCTGCAGATGAATTCCTTAAAGTTGTTTTTCCATGGAGCAATTCCAGCTGAGGGTGGGAAAGGGAGACAGAGGCCACAAAACACCAGGAAATCCTTCCCATGGAGAAGGAATCCCAGTGGGGGATGGGATTTCTTCCAGAGCTGGGATCCATCTGCTCTTCTCCAGATTCCAGGAGATCCAGAGGCTGCAGGCAGAGGCGCCGTCACACCCCAGAAACTTTTGAACCAAATTTTCCTTTCCAGGAAGAAAATGCTTCAAATTCCCCACAGATATTCCCCAGCCCCGTTCCCATTCCCGTTGGAGCCATTCCTGCTGGGCTAGCAGCATCCAGAGGAGCGTGGAAGACCCAAAAACTCCAAATCCAAGGTAAAAAAATTCCAAAATCTCTGTGGGAGAGGCTCCAGCGCCAGCTCTGCAGGCCTAGGCTGGGAGCCAGAGGCTGGGAAACGCGGCAGGACATGGAAGGACACATCCAAGAGATCTCTGAGAAGGGAGAAGGGAATCTCCTGGTCCTTTTTGGAAGAGGGAGAGAATTCCCAGCTCTCGGAGAGGAGCTCCGAGCGATCCCCAGCATGAGGGAGGCCGAGGCTCGGTGGCCTTGGGAAGAGCGGCCGGGGGGGTCGGGACACATCTGGATGAACACAAAATGTGGGAATGAGGTTTCACAGCTGCTCCTG